ATCGTTGTTATTTATGATCTAAGTCAAATTTAAGTCCTGGTTTGTACCAATTACCACAAGCCACTCTAGGTTTTCTCTCTTCATTTCACAAATATTTGCAAAATAATTCCTTCACACTTGAAAACAGAGAGGTTGCCGCACCAAACTGTACTCTTCTTCTTTAGTGGTAAACACAAAGGTCTAGGAAAATATTGTTTTGATATGAATCAGCCAAAGAAGCCACATTTTCTCTGAGAAATTTCGGAGGCTAAATTAGAGGTATAAGTTATCGTTCAGCAGTGAACGGTAACAGAAGTTTTTCTATCTGCACTTTCAAAAAAGCCATTAGATATTTTGCTCCTGGTGCTTCTTCCTCGCATAGCACTCTAACAATCTGACAGTTTAACATACACTTCTTATTAAATCCGTATGGTGCCCATGCTTTGAGAAAAAAGTAGAAGGTCGTATCCTGCTGCTTACTATGCTGCTGTAAGTTCAATTATGCTCTCTTGAAAATAAATGAAATTACCCTGGATTTACACCGGAGCAAATGAGAGGAGAATCTGTCTCAGCATCTCTGCAGAGCTGCCAGGTTAGTTGAAATACCATCTCTATCCCTTGGAGACATTTAAGAGCGACGTATATATCAGTTCTGGGCATTTGAAGTGTAACAGCACCCGGAGCTCCTCTGAGTGCAAGCTCCTCACTGGTGGCACATCCCTTGGTGCAGTGCTGCACCGTGGCCGCTCTCCAGCCAGATGCAGCCATGCTGTGTCCCCGGGTCATGGAGCACCTGAGAGGCCATTGGCCACATGCTGCAAAATACAAAGCCTTGCTGTGGGAGAGCATGAGGCAAGGGACATGTATGGGACACTCATGCTTGGAGCAGGTACTGGAGAAGGGATTGCTCAGTATTCAGTAGGAAGGGACGCTGGTTGGATTTAAAAGGAGCCTGTTAAGACCTGGTGAAGAAAATGATCTAAGGCATGCCCCAATTAGGGCAAGTAAGGGCAAATAAAGCCCCAAACTACAACTGATCCCACCACATTCCTGGGTTCTTGAAAAAAAAAGAAGAGAAAAGAAAAAAAGGAGATGATCCTATCCTCAAAGCGATTATAAAGGAACAAGGACTAACAAGGCCCTGAGCTCTGCACAAGGAAACACTGTTGTGGGTTGTAACTACGCAGACAACACTGACGCCTCCAGAGCCTTAAAAATAAGGACCACTGGTTGTTCGTGTAAAGTGGGGGCTGAAGCTCTCATGATCCCTTCTGTTATCCTTGTCCCCAAAGCCAAGACTAAATAGGGCACATGCCCACATGTAGCAGACAGAGTGGCCTTGCTCCGTTAGGGTTCCCGTTCTCATGAGCTCAGCCTTCCTTTCTCCCCTCCCTTGAGTGAAAGAAGTTGAATAAAAAAATTTGGAGAAAAAGTCAGCTTGAAACCTTTGAGTTTAATTTGGCTTTAGGTCAAAACCAGAAGGGGATGAATAACATTTTATTTAGTAGATACAGGCTTTTTCTTTTTTTTAATCGCTTTTTGACCTCTTCACAGAAGACTAATGGATCTTATTGAACAAGTCTTATGGCTGATCAAAAACTTTGAAAAGATGCATGGAATTTCTTAGACTAGTTAAAAACATCAGGTTTTTTGTTCAAAACCCTTAAGTCTTACTTCAGAAGCATCCTTCACTTACTGGACTATATTTCTTCACAAGAGGAAAGTTAGACTTCAAACTTCTACCCAAATCCACTTACAGATTTTCCCCACATCAGCCCAGGTTCTGTATAAGTATTGCAAACCTGATTAAACCTGTGCAGAATTTGGAGCTTCTAATTATTTCCTAAACAAAGAGAGTGTTGAATTTCTAAGAGTTTTTTCATGACTGTGCATATGTTGCATCCTGATAGACAACGGAAAGGTGAATCTTTCCCACAAGAACGGAGAATAAAACAGAGAAGCAAACAAAACCTTTATTCAGATCAACCTTCCAGGAAACCAAGATGATTTCCATCATTTTTATGACTTTTCCCTAGAGGCAAAAGACGTCTAATTAGCAAATCCCACTACAAGTTCGCTCCGATTTGACACAAAGTGAATGTGACAAGCAGAGAAATTATAAGCCTTACATTTCCAGTTAGCAAGCTTGGGCTGATAAAGTCGAATTCAAATGCTTTTTTGGGATCTTAAAACTTGGGGAGTAAAAATCCAGAGGGTGAGCTGGTTCAGCTAAAAATGTAATGCTAATTTATAGTGTTCCAGCCAGTGTTATCTGATGGCAATGTCACAGCAACCCTTTATGAATGTGCACTCACATGTCCAGCAACAAAGCACCCCAGCCAGTACTGAGATGGTCCTTATAGTCCACAATTATAATGATCTGAGGAGAATATATATATAATATATTGATATTATATATAATATAATGATACCAAGCAGAATCAAACCTTGATTCCTCATGAAGAAATAGAGCATGAGTAAAATAAATATTAATCATTAAGTTAATTAGTAAATGCTGGTAATTAATCCTGCATTACTGTTAATGATGTGTAGGAATCCTCAGAGGTGGTAGATGATCCTCCAGGAAAGAAGACTGTGCAGCCTAAATGAGATGATGTTCCCATTGCTAACATCAGCGGGAGTTGACCCATGGGGTTGCTTTGACCTTTGTTGTCTTTATTGGAATATAAAGTTAGGGGTGTCTCCTCCCACTCTGATTTAATACTCAGACTGGACCTATGGGGGCAAGCAGGCCTGACCAAGGGGTTGGTGGGCTCTTGCAGCTGTGCAGGCAGGCCCTAAAGGAGTTCACAGAAGTCCTGAATATTGCCTGGTAAATAGCTATGTTCAAGCCAATCCAAAATCTTGCTATTTATGGACCACCTGTATTTCTAAGTATCCTTCCAGCAGCCACAGAATACTCTACTGAGAGACACCTACCTGATTTTCTGAATTTCAGCAGAACTTTGGAACAACTGGTTAGGATCTCTAAAAAAGTCCTGTTATCTCTCTAGAACATAGAAACAGCATCATTCTTGCTGCAAAAGCCCCGTAATCTGTGACTACAAAGCTTCTAAGCTTCTTGGCTGTGCTGTGGGTCAGGTAGCCATATCCTGCAGACAAAACTGTGGAAAGTGGTCAGATGATAAGAAACTTTGGAAAGCTACTTGCAGAAGTCTGTGTTGATAGGCAAAACTCCTTCCTTGGTGTAATAGCTAAAGTTTGGCACTTGGCAAAGTTCATTTAGGGAAAGTTTCCTAAGCCAAAAGATCTTGTGGCTGCACAGGTGAGAGATCCCACAACACTCATGATAAATCTTTCAAGTACTGCTATGGCCATGTTGCCAAGTGCCATCTTGTTGGCTTGCCTCCCTGAGCAGCAGCCCAAGAGGACACAGAGCAAGGAGCTAACATTGCCTCAAGCAGAGTTGCTCTCAATGTTTTTATTCCTTTCCAGAATGTGACCTTGCATATTTTTTTCAGAAAAATAGTAGTGTTTGCAGAAGTCCTGCCTGTCTCCCCTGTGCTGACAGATTGCTGGAAGCTTCATCATGGCTGAATGAAGGAACTGTTAAAATTCATCTCCCTGCCAGTCTATTAAGAGAATAGGGAAATGCGCTTAAGAAGAGAGCACACACTGGCCCAAGAAGGAGAGGAACAGCCAGCAGAGACCTCCCGTAAAACAGCAAAGCTATAGCTGTGCTTGCTTCCTGCCAACAGTCGTTCTCCAGCATCTCCCACCAAAGCAACGTCTCCTCACCCAAAGCTGCCTAAATGTTTCACCTTATGCCTCTTGCTAAGGGATTCTCTGTTGGAAAAAGTCATGGTTGGTTGGTCAGGGAGTCTAAAAGAGTTAAAAGGAGAAATGTTTCCATGCATACAACGGTATTTACTTTACTTTTTTTTTAAAAAACATCGGAGTGTTCACCCAAACAGTTTGGCCAAGAAACTCCAGTTCTGAGTGATTCATTCACAATGCTGCTTCTCTGGGACTTTATGGAAGACTTAGGCTTTCGCTTTTCAGTAGTTTCTTATAGCTGTTTTTCATATATAAGAAATCCACAAATGATCTCCACACCTATATTGCCATTCCATGCCTTCAAATGTGTTGAACCACATTTGCCTCACCCAAACTCCCCAGAGTGGCTTAAATGTCCCAAGATCAAATACACGTTTTACTTGGTTTGCATCTGGTTTCCAGTTTCTGAGGTACAGTGAGGTTACATATTCAAACTTCGATTGGCAGGTCTGAAACTTGGGATCCTGGTGCATGGTGACTTGACATAGCATAGTTGAGCTACAGTAATCAATCGTGTCAGAGCGCTGTCTCAGGATAGCACTGTGGGAGCTGGCCATGTGGTATATAATTGTAGACGTATCTCTGGCAACCTTCACCTTCATATCTAAGCATGTATTTTATCCACAGAATATTCCCAGAAGTGTGATGGGTGTTTATAAAGCTCACAGATAAGTCTTAGTTTTCCTTTGCCAAACAGATAACAAATGTGCAAACAGTATTTTTGTCATGTCAGTCAAAAGATATCTAAAACCAGAATTTCCTAACCCTGCCTCCCTGAGGAAAACGATGGCATAAAAATTAACATTGTAAAATATATTATCTAAGATAACATAGGAATTCATTAAGACTTTGCCATTCAAAAGAGCTTAAATTCTTGTAAGCTAGAAAACTTAGATAGGGGTCCAAAATAACCTTGCATCTGTCCTACTATCTCACCTTTCTGACAAGTATCCACATAATATATATCAGTGACATATTCACTCCATTGCGTTAAGAAAAAAGTGTTACAAACATGTCTTTCTTGAATTCTTATAAATGTGCATCCATGATATACCTCAATAGGTGCTAAACCTGCCATCACCAGCTCTGCTGAAGTATGTGCTGAGATGGTTGTTATCTGCCACCAGTACACATCTCCTGGAAGAATGAGGCCAGGCTGGAAAAGCCTTTTTACTACTCAGACCAGAATGATTCTGTAACAAATAAGGAGGAATTTGCCTTACCTGTCTATGCTGCTGAGAGACTGGATACTGCAAACCTGAGATTTGCTGGCTTTGCTGCATTTTCTGAAGCATCATTTTTTGCTGCATTGCTAGGGGTACATTAGGTGGCCTTTGAAGAGACTGGTTTGGGAGAGGCTGAGCAGGCTGCGGCTGTGGTTGTTGTTGCTGCTGTTGCTGTGGCTGTTGCACGGGGGCTGAACCCTGTGCCTGCTGCGTGTAGTGCAGAAGGGCAGGCTTGTTTTGGGAACCCAAAACTGAAGGCATCTGCTGGTTGGTTTGCTCTGAGTTAAAGTGAAACAAAGGCTTTGTGTTGCCATGATGCTGCTCTAGTGGTGGCTGAGCGCTGTTGATAAAGTTTCTGTTGATGTCCTGAGGCTTCTGTTGCATGATTATGTCCATGGGATTGCTCTGGGGAGTGGCTGGTTTATAAACATAGTTGTTCATCCCTTTTGACTGGTTCCCATTCACTGGTACCCCAAGCATTGCTGAGCTTTGTGGGCTGAACTGCTGCTGGCGAAAAGAAGGACTGGGGATTTTCTCTTGCACAAAGGGTCCAGGGGAAGGTCCTGATGGAGACAAGGTGGACCAGTTGGCCGTCTGGTTCTGCTGCTGCTGTTGCTGCTGAATCAAGGCATGCTGCTGCCGGTTGGCTGCAATCTGTTTGAGCTGCTGTGCATGAGACACCTCCTGCCAGTTAGGCAATGGCCGACTGGACGCAGAAGAAACCTGCGATACCTGTGTTTGACTCTGAGGCACCGAAGGGATGGGTGAAGAGGTGGACATGGCAGCGGTGGCCATAGTGAAGGCTGGACCTGTAGAAGAAGGCCTCATCTGTGGGGAGCCCACAGGAGCCTGATTCATGCCTGGTGCATATTCACTCTTTATCACCATTTTATCCATCTGCAGAGATCTCACAGGGCCCCTCTGGCTCTGCTGCCCAAGGTCAATGTTGAATGGCTCATCTTGTTTTATTGTGGCATTTATCATATTCTCTAGCTCGAGATCACTCATTGGTGGCACTGATATGTTAGTCAGTTCATTAAATAGTTCCTGAAGCTCCAGATCCATCATTTGTTCCCATGAGTCTTCCCCATATCTGTTAGGGAACACGTTCTCATGGGATGTCTGGGCATCTAAGTGTTTGCTGCAGGACATCGTTTCTCCTGGTTCTTTCTTTACCTCTTTCAAAGTCATATTAAACATGCCATTCCCACTAGCATGTGTATTGTTTGCTAGGTTGCTGGCCTTTCTTTGTGATCCTTGCCCGACAGACATAGTTCCTGACATTGACTGGCTTTGGCAATTGTTGACATGTTGTCCACCTTGTCCCACTGAGATATTATCACCCACTCTTATCCTCTTAATGTCAAGGAAAGAGCTCTCTGAAACACCATTGGGCCTTTTGTTGTTGACAGGCGACAGATTTACCACCAACTTTCTCTTCAAGGAGCCTTGGAGCTGAAAGAAGCAGAGACAAAAAAAAATAATCATTAGATGACACCGAAGAAACAATCTGTAGTCTATTTGCTAGAAGGATCTTGCAAGTCAACAGGCACATAAGCATTGCTTAATACAGAAAGCTACTCTGGGCTTTCTCAGTCAATGAAATTGCAGAACTGTAGGAAAATATGTTGTGAGACACCTCCCTACCACCACCACTCCTGTCCTTATAGCCACTGGCATTTTTCGAGCACTGCTGCCTCCTGTTGATCACAAACCCCCTTTCCCCTCCGGGTGTGAGTGGAGGGAGGTGGCCAGAGCTGTAGCTGGCACAGCCTAGGGCACAGCTGCCCCAGATTTGCTCCCATCTAATTGTGCCAGACAGATCTAAAGTATTTTCAGATAGCAGCAACTAATGCAGACATGAAATCTGCCCTTGTGCCTATCCAGTGCTGCAGGATTTCACTCTCACGATTTTGGTATATGATCCAAAAGACCATTTTCGACTGCTGTAGAGTCCAAAGGTCCTAAGAGATATTTTAATGGCACACAAGAGACCCAGGCATCTGGATTTCACCTAGGTTTATACTGGCCAGAGATGTGTATAATTAGATATGTTAGAAGTGGACTTGTTCAAAACTGAAAATGAAGCCACTGGAGCCATGTCAGGTTATGTCAGCCGAGGGTCTGGTCAATAATGTACTGCCGGATTATTTTTCAGAGATGTATATGAATACATTAAGACCTAATTGTTTATGTCCTGAAACATCTGCTATAAAACACACAGTCCATGCAACACTGCTCTGAGAACTGTAACTCTGTTTCCTTTCCTTGAATATTTACAGCAATACTTTCATCTGCTCACAAGCCCTGTGGGCCTACCGAAGGAAAAGAGGTTCACGGCCCTGTCCACCTGATGTACACTCATTTGCCATGGTTGTACACGCAAATTCCCACACAAAACAAAGGTGTAGCCCCATGAACTGAAAAGTTTGGACTTGGTGCAGGTACCCTCAAGTAGAGTTGCTTTGAATTTCAAAACCACGGTTCATAAAAGAATAGATCACTTTTAAACAAGCACAGCTGTTCTACCTGTAGCTCTGTACATTAAAGGCGCACACCAAGCACTAGACACAGTGAACACACATGCACGCAGCCCTCGCTTAGTCGGCACGCACGCTGTCACTGTTTCAGCTGTGAGCAATGCCAGGAAACCCCGCAGGGAAACATGGCTCATCTTCTGCCTTTCTGCACCGGCCCTGGAGGCAACAGGACAATGTCATCTGTCAAATACCTGTGTGTGCCAGCGAGAAAACGGCACCCGTACAAACTGTGATACCTTTGGAGCCTGTGATGGGCAGAGGGAACACCAAGAGTTCTAATTTTCCAGTTAAGTGAGGAAGGATGATTTATGAGATCTTCAAATCACATTCTTTGTATCATGCTGTTTCATGTACAGAAGTCCATGGACACCTAATACTCTGTTGTGGCCCCTGTTCCCCTCAACTTCTGGCTTATCTATAGGTAAGAGCTCTTCCCAGATAACTCCAGGTGTGAACATTTTTATTCTGGTGTGAATACCAGTGAGTTGCTTGGGAAGAGTTCAATGGACAAATACATATTATTTCCTCAGTATTCACCTATCCTTCCATTGCATCAGCAGGTCACTGAGTTTGCCCCTTAAAAATACAGCTTGTAATTTCTCTCTCTGACACCAAAAATCTCATCTCATATCTCAAGTTAAGTTTCCAGCATAGCTTTTGAATCACAGATTCGTCTTCATTTCATAAGGACAGACACGCTGGTGCCTAGTTGTACAAGTCCTCAGACCTTGTGCCTTCAAGAGTAACTAATTGGCATCAGCTGTCCCCTGGAGGGGGGGGAGTTTTGGGTGGTCACTTGCGAAGTGCACGGACTGTCTTTGGTTCGCGTGTTCCTTCTGACACATGAGTCACTGTACTTTCCTTTGCAAAAAAACGGTAAGCTGCACTTCCTTTTACCATCATCTTTGCTGTCAGTGTGTTTATTAGAAATCATTCTTGTGCCTCCAAATTCATCTTCCTGGGAAATGGGGAAGTCCCCGGGTCATCAGAATACATGACTTGGCAGCATGTTTTGATTTCAGACGTGCTGCTGACAGAAAGGCTGAACAGATAATGAATAATATATCCTCTGCATATGTATATGCTTTATGTGGTGAATATGCCTTTCTGAGTTAATTTTGCTTTTGCTTGACATTTTGAATCGGAGGGAGCTGTTCAAAATGTCTTCACATTTTCAGAGCACCTGCACCAGGCTTTCTGATACAATTAAAAATGCAGGTGTTGCACTGCGCTGCGCGTAGTAGCTGCTTTTCTTCGGCATTTGAACTAGCTGCTCGCAGATACGAGGGAGCTGTGAAGTGCTTTGCCTGGTGACACGCACAAGTCAGCAGCAGAGCCAGGGAGAGCACCACGATCTCCAGACACATCCCTTAACCAAGTGCTTCCTCAACATGGGCTGGAGGACTCCTGTGACATCTGCTCTGCTAAAGTGCCCACCAAAAAAGGCACTATGCATTTCTAAAGAAGTAACAAGTGCTGGCGTATCACATCTCCCCCAAACCTTGCAAACACTGCCCTCGGAATGCTGACAACACCTTGGTCAATAGATGTCCCCACCTTAAAGCAGTAATGAGAGCGAGGGAGACTGCAAAGGTGCAGGGGACTCTTGGGGGACTTCACTGAGGCTGCTGAAAAGGTCCTGCTTCCCCATCCCCCATGAGTTAGGGACGTGGAGGGCAAGGGCATCGGAAGGATGTGGCAGCCCACAGGGATGAAGCCCCCTCTCCCTCCTTGCACCGAGCCGTTACCAATTATGTGTCAGGGCGGTTTGCAGGGGACCAGTCTGTGTTTGTTCAGCGAGACGAGCAGTGTCCATCACAAGCTTTTCTGTCTTGCTATTTCATCTGAATGCTGCCTTCTACAGGGCACTGCTGCCTCAGCATTATGCCTGTTTTGTTTTCAGAAGGGAGCGGACCAGGGTTCGGTCACTCAAATCTTTGCAGTTTTCTAGCAATCACATTTTTCAACTACTGATTGAAAGTCAGTACTCAAGCCCTTTTTCCCCAAGCAAAGCACAGACTCTTCAGAGGGTAAAAATAGAGCTTGCCAGATTTCAAGCTCCATTTCTTCCAATTTGCAAGCCAGGATTGATTTGGGTCAGTAAACGTAAAGCAAAAGTTCCTATCCCACACAGGCACATTCCTCAGATCAAACGGGCTCGCGATTACACATCTCAAACTGCCTGAACTGCGTCATACTGAAAGGCTCTGTGACGGGAAACGAGTGACATGACAGTAAGCGGGAGAGGAGGAAGCCCTCCATGCACAGCTCCATCCCACAGGTAGGTGGGCAGCACTCTATGAACCATCCAAGAGTACATGCATTTCCTGGCAGCCTCTGTTATTGTAAGACCTTTTGGTGAGTCAGCACGTGTTCACGCACTTACAGCGAGGGAGTGCTGGACACGCTGATTTTCTGAAATTAAAACTGCAGGGGCTAAGCCGCTGGAAATCACATTTGCAAGATAGCACGGTGCTGTTACTGGCCAAACTGCTCAGGGACGTTAACAGCGGAGGGCAAAACTCTAGAGATGACTTGGTCTAAACGACCCAGTGTGACACCACGTCCTGTGCAGAGGGACAATTAATTTCTGTTTAAAACTTATTCTGAGTTTAAAGGGGATTTAAGAGAGACAGCTTCTTCTCTAATGCTCCCTGACACCAGGCCAAATCAGCAGGAGTTCCACCAAGCTAATAATTAGGGCTCATCAAAATCTGGTATCAAATAATTTCTCTTTTGGCAAAAAAAAAAAAAAAAAAGGCTTTTGCTACACCTTTCTTTTGGTTGAAATTTTTTACTAAATGTAAAACTAGAGGATTTTGCTGAATATTGATGATTTTTTTCTGGCTCAAAAGTTTTTTCAGAAAATGGAAACAAAAACTTCATTGGTGCAAAAGCACAATTTGACAATGAGAAATTTTAGATATTGTTTTTTCCAAAATATCCATATTTAAAATATTTTTATTACATCTTTGATCCGTTTCTGACATGACCCATGTGCATTCACCTTGTACTCCTTTCCACAGGGACTGTCCCATATGGCCAAGAAAAGAATTTGTCTGTGGCAGCAGGAAACGCTAAGGACTATCTGGTTTCACTTTCATTGAAAGTCTTATCGTTTGTGTGCTTCATGCAGCTTCTTCAGTTGGACTTCCTCTAGAATTTGCTTTTTACTTCATTTTACAATGTGTAGGAGCATAGCGCTTGACAGAAGTCCTAGGTTAACCAGCCTTGAGTTTCGCAGCTCTCGGGACAAGTAAAACCCAGCCTGTCCCTCTGACTTGCCCGAGTACCACCATAGTGCCTGCAGGTCTCCAAAAAAATTCATTTCCCAGTGCAACCCACCCTTGGCCTTGTACGGAGATCTTAGTAACACATGTGACATCTCAAAATGTTTATAACTAGACACTTAAGATGGGACCAAAACACCAAAATGCTCCAAGCAAACTACAGAGAAAATAAGCAGGGTGTGACAGTTTTAAGTCTCCACTAATCTTTATTAGCTGAAGACGTAAAAGGAAGATCTCTTACCACCTTTGTTCTCCCATCTCTCACATTTTCCTACTAAGGTTTGCAGCTTTCTTAGCTTGTGTGGTGGAACAACGGGGACGAAACTCGTAACGTGCCGCTAACTTAAACCCCAAGCGGTTATCACACTTCGTGAAGCAGGCAGCACGGCAGCGTTAGCGATCCATGTGGAGTAATACCTCTGATGTTAAAAAAGCAGTGCTGGATTTTATGCTTTTAATATAGAAGCAGCAGACAAATCCACTTTAAAAGGTCCCTTTTGGAATTCCTAGACTTTCTCACAATATGTGCTGACTGTATCTATGGCTGCACTGTAAACAAAATCCTTCATGTATCTGGGGAGGGGAAGGGGTAAAGGAATTACATGAAAAATACAGAAAATATTCAAACAATGAAAGTGGCCAAAAAAAAAAAAGAATTCATTCCAAAGGAGGAAAACATGCTGAATGCTACTTCTTATTTATGCTGTGAAAGCACCTTTGCATCCCAGGGCTGGACTCAGCGAGCCACCCCTGGGACTTAGGGCCTGATCCTGAATAACAGCAGCTCTCATTTTCAAAATAGTGGTTCGCAGTGTTTGCTGCCAGCCTTCTGCAGTGCCACCTCCTGCAGTGTCCGGAGCTGAGCCGAGCTGGGGAGCATCTCTCCAGGCAGGATTGGGGTTCACCAGTGCAGAGCCTCCCTGTTGTGGGCATCTCCCCAGCATGCAGGAGGACCAGGCGCCCCTCTCCTTGTTTTCTTACCCCTTTGGCCAGACACGATGGTCGTGGTGACTCACACCATGGCCAGCTGCAGAGCCACCAAGGCACCCTGGGGCTGACACAAGGACAAGAAGAGGCCGCTGCCCTGAGCTGCCACCTCCAGGGCCATCACTGCTCTTAACACCATGATGACACGCACACCCTCATGGTCCTTTTCTGACTACAGATGCACTTTTTAGGAAGAGGCAAAAGGGCTCCCATTACTGCTTTTTCTACATATCTCCTGAAATCTGGCTGTTCCCACTCTTCCCCACACCCAGGGCATCAGGTTCATCCTGACGTCTCTCCTGAAGATCTCAACAGCATGGTCCTCTTATGAGCACCTCTCCCCAGCCTCTCTGCTCTGCACTTTCTCTGCACAGCAAGAGGATATTTATTTTTAATCTTTTGTCTTCATTTGCAACTTCTACCTGACATGGCTGAGAATGTAAGCATGACAGTTGTCTTCTGAGAGATTTTAGCACTCCAAGTTCAGAAAGTCCAATCTGCTGGATGATGTTGATCTGGGAAACAACATTCATTTTTCATGTAGGACTGAGTGACAGAGCGGAGGCCCTGGGCACACTGCAGAATGGGGAGCGGTGCCAAGAGCTGGTGTGTCCTCACAGCACCGCACGGCACCGTGGTTGCATCAAGGCGGTCCTACCATGGTTGCAAAGAGCTGTGCAAGACTAGCAGATGCCACTCCAGCCTGGTTTGCACAGGCTCAGCTCCAGGTGCCTCCTACCACCTGCTCTGTGTCTGTAGGAAGGGGACCAACCACTCTCTCTGGGCAGCGAGGAGGAGGAGGTGCAGGTGCCTTCAGCCTCACGCTGTCGGTGAGCGCGGCAGCTCGAGCCAGCACACCTCCACTCTGCCTCCCTCCTCTCCCATTTAGCTCCTGAGATCACTGTGATCACAAGGAGCAAGGTTTGCTGCCATGAGTTTTTGCTCTACACATCCCAAACCTTGCCACTGCCCATCCCTGTCTTTCTGACCATAAGCTCTTTGGGAAGAGGCTCGGTGTCTATACAGGGCCTCTTGCACTGGCGTCCTAGCTCTGCTTGATCCTTAGGCATAAGCACCACTGTCAATAATAATGCTGACTGAAGAGGTAACACAAGTTTTTCTCCCTGTTTACTGTAATAAGTGCCACTAAAACAGAATTTATAATAACAAATAAGGATGTTCCTTGGCTGACAAGTATCCACTTAATTCTCATTAGCTGGGAACAAGGCTGGAATAGTAATCAGTATGTTAGAAATCCCACAATTTACCTTCGCTTATGGAAAAATTACATATCTTGCCAACTGAACATACCAACCTAAAAATGCATCCATATTATTCACAGTGTACTGCCTAGAAATATAACGTCAGGGCTTTGGTCCAAGTTGCTGAAGCACAATAATTATATTTTTTATGCAGATTTTACATCTGATGGATTATAAAATATCATGTCTAGCCACAGTCTTTTAGAAGAATAGGAACACAGAGAAACAATAGCACTTTAACTAGGTCAAGATTGCTAATCAGAATGTAGCAGTCATTACTGTGTGCAAAACAAATAGGCATGAAAGATCTGTATTTCTTATCCTGCAAGCTGTGTATTTGTCTTCTGGAGAAGTCTTTTCTGTTCTTTTTTTTCTTTCTCTTTTTTTAAGATCCTTTTCAACCATGAATAAATTAACAATCACTCTATGTGAAATCTACAGAAATTTGTGTCAACGTTTATTACCATGAAATGTGGAACAAAGCATAATGCAACCTGAGCTTTGGGAAATGCGACTGCTTCACTGATCCTATCCTGATGAGAATGAAATATCAAATGCATTATAAATGTTGACAGGATGATCAGGCACGTAAAAGAGGTCATCCAACACCACCCTCCACATTGTTTACCAGTTTCATAAGTCAGCTTAAAGTATTAAAAACACATACTGTCTTGCACAGGAAGCAACTAATCCTTAAAAATGTGGCTGCTGTTATTTGATTTGCCTTTTAGAGATCAATAGCATAGCAGATTTCACCTAAGGAAAGACTGCTGAGAGCAGCCTGGTCCTGGTTTTCTGCCCAGCATCGCTTCCAAACTGGCTGTGCAAACGCTTTGTAGCTTCAGTAGAGTGCATATCCATGCCCACACATGGGCTTTTATTACCTGTCTGAGCACCTATCATCTCCTCGACAACACTCTGTATCAAAAGTTCAATCAATGGAGGAAGACAGCAGCCACCCATCCAGCCTTGGAAAATAAGGAAACATTTAAACTGTTTCTCTCTTCCTGCAAATCAATGCATCACACAGGACACTCACGCCAACTGTTTGGCCTTGAGGTCTTCTGCAGGGTAAGTTACAGTTCACAGGAGATACAGTCATCACTTGTCAACTGGGAAAAAAAGATCCCTTCAGCATATTACCCAGTCATGCTTCCAGCATCAGAATCTATCTGCCAGGACAAGGAGGGCCTGCTTCAGTGAGAACTGCCTTCCGTCCCTGCATCAACTAAGACTCTTAATGAGCAACTGGCAAAATGGCTTCTTGTTAGGAGGAAGGAGCCCTAATTCTCTGCCAAAAACTTCAGTGGAGAAGTGATATTTAGGATCAAATCCAGGCCTGTGGTAAGAGAACATCTCTAACAAGGTTGCTGCACTTGCTTGATGGTTGGGTTTGACCTGTATTAGCATCTTCCACCTGCCTCTCCCCATCATGCACATTCACCCCATTAAGAAGGACATCAAATAAAAGCAGTACTTAACAGCCATTTTCAACACCTTCAGCTTAAACATGCAGTGTCAGGACAGGCTAAGTGCACCCCACCAAGAGTTTGACCTGTATGAGCAGAACGGGCAAAAATTTAGAGGGTTTTGGAGACAAGTAACAACATCGATTTAAGAGCTTTGAAGATTCTCTTATGAAGAGAACGGACAATAGAAGGGACAAATAAAAGAGAACATTATGAAAGTTTCTATAATAAGACTCTAACAGATTAACTGCAGATCAAGAGGGTATTTAGTAAACTTGAACAGCAGTAAATTCAATCCCAATGAAATTATAAACCTTTTCTTCCAATGTGGATAGAGTCTGAGGAACTACATGACAGATCCAGAGCTCAGTGAGATCTAAAGAGGGACTGAGCATTTGTTTGGAAATGGGAAGGTGCTGACTTATGAAAGGTGACAAAAAATGTTTAGAAGGGGGTGTGAAATATTAAACATCAAGGTTCAAACCAGTCTATGGGGACTGCCTACAGTTGTCAGTGGGCAGGGGAGAAAGTGGTGGTTTTTGCAGGCCTGTCAAGGTGACAGTGTACCTTCACCTGGTATATTTGCCATTGCTATTGATGAGATGCCGCAAGGGTTTAGAAAGGACACATGTTTGGCCATGTTTCACAACTCCTATATTTCCAACACTTAGAAGTCTGGAAGAAAATTGTAAAAATGGGAGTCATTTGACCAGTATCTAAATATTTACTACTAATTGTACTCCTGAGTTTCAGTTTTAGCCTGAAAACACATACAGAATAACAGAACAAGAATTAATAGTAAAAATTGGTCTGCGATAATGGAAGACCATTAGCAGGTTACAGGAACCCCGAATGCTGTACTGTCTTGGACTAGCACATGTTGCCATTCAGGTGATTTTCAATTATTTGGTCTTTGTTTGAGTACCATCTTGATGATATCTTATGAGAAGGTTGAAAGAATCTAAACCCAAGAAAATGGACAGAGAGGGTGAATGGAAATGTCTGGAAACAAGCAACCACCCAGGAAGGAATGCTCCAGGAGCTGGAAAAGGTCAGTGTGGATAGAAGGGACCGGGAGCAGTCCGGGCTAAGAAAAAGGCACCTACAAGCTAAAAAAACCCAACCATTCAGTTACTGAAAAGCTTATAAGATCATGCTTAAAAGGAATGTGAGAAATGACAAGCGGAATGGAGAGGATGAGTGAAAGATGCTTGCACAAGTAGATAAGTCAAATGCATGGAGACGTCTCCTAAGAAAGTGAAAATAAGTTTTATGGCTTTCTTTTTCTCTCTGATTAGCAAAGAGAATATTTGATAGTACAGAGCATCTAGCAAAAGCTTGGCTTTTGCAAAAAGATTTGCTTTGGCAAAAGGAGATGACATTGCAATAGGATTCATGTGTCTCAAGAGCTGTTGATTCTGCACCAGATGCCATCATCACATTGTTTAAAATGTAACATTGAACAGTATTACACTGGTCACTGAATAGATAGCAAGAGTATGTGAAGACTAAATCTGGTGCAGGGAAAGGATAAAAGAGGGAAAGAAAGTGTGAGAGCCCATGTCTTGGCCTACCTGTGGGAGACAGGCTCAACGGCAGTGCCCCCAGCAACCCTCAGATGGGCAGAGGAGAGGCTCAAGGAGACAACACCAAGGTGGGACTTGCAAACCTCCCCAGTGATGAGGTGACACAGTTTGCACACTGCAGCCTTTCAGCCCCTTTGTCCTGCCCCTCTGAGGCAAAGCCCTGATGCTGAGCACACACCGTGGTTTGTGGCTTGGAGCAGCAATGCCAGTGACTAAGACCGTCAGTGCAATCCCCTGCTGCGGACGCTCACGTCTCTGCAGCCATCCAGTCTCCTAGGAGCCTTTGTACTGAATGCTTTTATCCCAACTACAGTTTTCTTCAAGGGGATTGTTGGTCCTAGACTCATTGCTGTGTCCCATGAGACACAGTGGGATGCTAAGCAGCTGATGAAGATGCTCCTGGTAGTTCTGGACAGTGGCCTATCCCCACCAGCTATGCATTACATCTCCTGTGGTGGTAAACCACGAAGGGTCACCACAAAACTTTCAGATACTTTTTGGCCACTATGATAGTTTTCGGTGAATGGGACAGAAGGAGATGCATTACAATTGATGCTTCCTATGTGCCATATTTCCTATGTGCACCAATCACTTGTTGAGTGAATTCATGCAAATAGAAAGAACACTGAAAAATGAGCAGTTCTAGGCCTCTCAGATAGACAACAGCCATTCTCAAAGTCATATATTCCTCCACAGCAGCCTTGAGCCTGTTTCTAGAGCCAATTGTGATTGCTGGCTTTGAAAATTCAAAATGAGAAAAATTCCCTGTTTGGCACTGACTGAGTGGAATAGCATCTCCTTCCT